GATATCCTATCTCCCTGTCCCCAATGGACTCCACGCCCACTTGCACTCCTTCCCATATGTGAAGGAGTGGAAGTGGGCGTGGAGTTGTGTAGGTATAAAGGTGGCGTGTGTGGGATTGGAGTGGAAACGTGGGGAAGTGGGGCTTGACACTGTAGGTGTAGAAGGCGGAGCGGAAGGCGGCGGGATGAGGGCGGGAAGAAACCAATTCTGAATTTTTGAAGGGCGTTGACCTCCGTCATTACGATGTGGCCCGGTCTTTTATCAAATGAACTGGGCGTTACAGGTTGAGATGCCGCGCTTTCACATTCAATCGAAGTCCAGGAATTGACCACGTATTGGCGATTCGCGGGTTTCTTGTCGAAAAGGTCGACCATATTTTCATTACAGTTAATGTGTAATTTATTTATTAATTTGTGATAGGTCAAAAATGGTTGTCTTCTCAGTAGTTATTTGGCTCTTTGGGCTGTCCGAGAGAATTTGCGTGAATGGTCTAGTGAGTGTACGACATCTGCGGCACGGGCCGGCATGCGTACAAGTATGGAGGTGGCTACAGTAGACCAGATAGAGTAGCTAAGTCGTTGTTGGATCTGAGTCTTGACCGTGCCAAAGGAGCTGTGTTCACAGTAAGCGATTGCCTTCGCGAGCTCATCTATTAAACGCTCAGAGCATGCTGAGGGGGCTCCGAGAGTGTCGAAAGCTAATGGTACGAAGTGCCAGTTCAGCTGGGGTGTCGGGGCATCTGTAGGGAGATGCAGTGCATCATGTATTGTGCGCTTAAGAGCTGATAATTTGCCGCAGAGGCCAGCTTCTGCCGCAGCCGCAGGATACTTTGCTTCTTGTTTGAGAATGGATTGGGTGTACGGGCTACGCATCATGATATCATAGGCAGTGGGGTTTCCAGGGAGTGAACCAGGGGGTGGGTGGGGCGGCTCGACAAGTACATCAGCTGGGCGGTGTGATGTGTTCAGGATCACGGACGAAACCTCTATTTTGCACGCCCGGCCTGCCGGGCGGAACAAATGTTTCACAAACGTATTACGGAGCGAATTGCGTCTATGTGTGGGGCTAAGTGGCAGCGTACAATGCGTGGCATGGTCGCCTCTGTGATCCATGTGTTGCTGCATTTTTTGCATCTCAGGGGCGCATTTGAATCCTCGTACACGGGCACATCGAGATGCCGTCTCAACATGATAGTCCACTGTGTATTGAGAACTGACTTTGCAACAGAGTGGCGTGCATTTAAGAATGCCGAGGCCCCAGGCGCCATAATCGAATGAAAACTCACCCGTCTTCTTATTGTGGATGTGTTGTGGGC